AGCTTTCCCTGAAGATATTCACACTCTGCAGCAACCCCTTTGCCCAATTCAAGCTCTTCGTCCTTTACACGAAGTTGCTCCTCGAGTACGCTACTCCTGCGAATAGCCTGCATTTACTGCTGATCCCTCTTCTCCAACTCCTCACCGAGGAATCGATCACCAGGGTTCGCCTTTAGCCGCTCGTGCATCTCACGACATTTATTGTGATAGCGCCGATATTTCTCCAACATCGTCAGGAAAATCTTGGTCGGAGTGTCGGCCCTATGAGCGTTCTTAATCTCCACCATGTACGTCTGAAAAACAAAAAGACGGTCTAAGGCCAAATCGTCCAGAAAAATAAAAAGAACATGAAAGAAAGGCGAAACGTACCCTCAAGCCCATAGCGGCCACTTCATGCATCGAGTCAATATCAGGAAGGTTCCGAAGAGCCTCGCTCTCAGCAGCAGAACACAAGAGGTCAAACTGCGGCACCAGGTCCTCCGTATCTCCTAGAAGTTTGATGTCCGATGAGATCTAAAGAATACGGGTCGGGCCTCCCACATGAACCACCAAACGGGTAAGACCCTCTTCAAACATCCTAACATCATCAGGATCAAGATCAGACTCAGATTCGTAGTCGTCGACCACGATACCTTTTCCTCTTTCTGCGGCCGAGGAGGAAGCACGACCAGGCACCAAGGACGAAGGCCCATCCAAAACAGTAACAGTGGCCTCAGGAGTCTAACCCCCCGTCGTGGCAGGTTGTTGATCAATCATAGCGGCAGGGATCTCCGTCAGTGAGGCAGACGCAATGGCTGGCTCTGTCTCTACAGGCGGAAGGCATCAACTCCCACCTCAAACACCGTCAAGGGAAGGTCTTCCTCTATATGTATCACGGCCGAATGAGCCGTTTCAGACTTCACTCACCTCCTCTTTGATGGCCCCTCTCCTTCTTCGGTACGGGAAGATTCCTCTGCTGGGTAGGTAACCGGGGTCGGAATCTCAGTTCGAGGGGTAGCCTCCGTGCGTACGACCACAACCATAGATTCAACTAAAGCGGCCCTCGACGAAGGTCGGGTAGTAGACACTGAGGCAGGATGAGCGGACAATGTAGGTTAACAAAAAGCTAGTGGAGGAGCCCTCGCCCTCCACACTCTCCTGACATCGACGAACATCACATAAGAAACAAAGTAAAAAAGGGGAGGGGGAAGAATAACAAACAAAAATGATATTACTCACCAATGAGGGCTTGCGTCCATATTTCTCGTAAAAGGATGACCATGTGTAAATCCCCGTTGTATGATAAAGGATGACATTCACCCACTCACGGATACCGTCAACGGGTGTAGGGGTAGTTTCGCGACTGTGAAAACAAAAGAACAAATTTCAAATATTGACCAAATGGAAGTGGTCGAGCATTATTCTGACCAAAAGTATAAAAACTTACGCGCAAAGTTTCATTTCTCAGAGAACCCTAAAGGATCTACCACAACGTGCTCGGTCCGCACGTAGAAGTAATTCTTGTAGAAACGATAATTGGCTCTATCATCCTATCTGCACGACCAGACTCTTCATCCCTCGGTAGCACATATGAATCATTATGCTACGAATGAGTTGAGGAGCAAAGTTATTAAGCATGTTCCTCAAAGTGATCTCCCGGCGAGCAAGCTCCACAAACTTGAGCAGCATGAGGAACAATTTATATAGGTACGGCGTAAGTTGAGTCGGGCATACCTCGCAAAATCGGAAAAAATCTACAACCAAGAGAGGAAGATGGAGGGTGTACCCAACAATAAAGGGGTAGGCGTAGAACGTGCAGTACCCTAGGCAGTCAAAATGGACTATGTCGTCCCCCACCGCCGGCAGCATTTTGACGTGGTGAGGGATTCCCCACCTGGCCTTCAATTCTGTGATCCCTTCCGCATTTATAACAAATAGAGCAGGTTCCGGCTCTTCCCCGGCGGGACTGTGGAAATCGTTCCATGGTCTCCCAAGGTTGGGCAAGATCTCAGCCGCTGTCGGAACCTCCTCATCTTCTACTACCTCTACTCCTCCAGTGACAAGAACATTGCTTTCCGGCACCGGAGTTGTGGCAGGTTGGTTAGCACGAGAAGAATCACGAGCCATTTGTATCGATTTGACTAAACAAAGAGACATGAGAAAGAGGAAGAGACTAGGCAAAAGTTCCTAGTTAACCAGAGAAAGTCAGAAATCCAAAGTATCAGGAGAAGAGAAGACTCGCAATTTTCTTTCAAGAAAAGATAGAGAAGTGTGTCAATCGAATAGTACCTTCCTTCTATTTATAAGAAACATAAATTATCCGATCACGAAATCCAGGAGTCGCCAATCGAAGTTGATAGGGCACGAAACGGTTCAATCCCCTGGGAACGTGTGTCATAATGGTGGTAACCACGAATGCCGTTTCAAGTTGAACGATGCTTCGATTCCGAAACGACCGCAACGGTCCAAGGGTATCTCAAAAGCATCGTTGTATCACTTGAATCTAAAAATCATACCCAAGGGGTAGATAGTCAGATTTCTCTTAGATGAGCAAAAATCATAATACGTCTACCGGGCCCGACAAGAGACGACCCCGGCAGACGGAAGGACTAACTGTATTGGTCAAAATCTGACCGCTGTGGTTGACCCAACTAGGACCCCGTCCAAACGGCGGGGTAAGGAAAGACGCCATGATTTTCTCCAAACCACCTACTCACAGTGCCCGCTAAGTCGAAGAACAATACTCAGGTAACAACGAAAACGGACGTGGTATGAAGATACTTTGACCCAAAAACATAGCAAGGACTCCATGACTATATATAGGGAGGGGACCTTCCTAGAAAGGGGGATTTTTCTCTCTTTCCTCTCCTCTGTAATCTTCTTAGCGAAAATAAGACAAAACAATCTTCCATTGATTATGTAAAACAGTCATCTCCATCAATTAGTGAGAGAAGAAATGAAAAACCTCAATAAGATTGATCGCCCCCATTTCATCTTATGCATCATTTTCTGATTTGCTTATAGATCTGGAATTTATTATGCTTGACTAAGATTTACCTCTTCATCTTCATTAATTGATTTAATCAAAAAAGTTTCGATATCTTTTGGTCAAACAGTTTGGATGGACTTATTTTAAATAGCTTTTAAGCCATAAGTCTTTTTAAATGATAGTAATAATATCCGAGCTAGTTTGCGCAAACATAAACTTCAGATATCTACATGCTTGTCTGCAATTACCTGAGTTCATAATTAGCATATGGTAGCAATTATATGTATAAACAGTCGCTATCTTTTAATTTCCATTCTTCTACTAGAAGGAAAGAGAGTTCAAAAGTAGATAATTATAACACTATCGATATATAAAAGTTAAATTCGGGATATATTTATGACAAAAGGTACAAATCAGAAATACGCATGTGTGTTTGTTCATTATTTTTTGTTATATTATGGCAAGAATATCGTTCGAACGGTGTGGACAAGACTACAAAAACAACCGGACGAAATAGTACCGTCCTTGATACCACAATCACCAGTTGCCATTCGTCATTTTCCTTGTCAAAAATGGCGCAACACTAAGGATTTATTTAGTAGCTAAAAAAGTTTCAACTCTCTCTATAACCTAATAAACTTTTTTAATTCTTTCCAACAACCTTCCGCATTCTTCATCCATGTCCTTTGATTAAGCTACAGAGTTAAAGAGTCAAAATAGAAGCTA